CCATCATGATATAAGATCTGTGTTTTTTCCCCTTTAAATAAAGATGGAATCTGTGACTCTTTAGTCATGAGAATGCGAAGTGTTTCTGGGCTCTTAGGCAATTGACAGTTTCTATTTTTTGAGTCTGTAATATTGACTTCTTGAATTAATCAGCCATGCTTGGAAGAATCACCAGCAACCCCAAGAAGAGGCCTGCACAGAGGAGAATGAGGCCTCTAGCCACCACTGGTTGAGCTCTGACTCACCAGCCAGTGAAGGTACAGATCTTTAGGACCAGTTGAGATGCGTTAGCTGACAAAGTAAGAAGCAGAAAAGAGGTGTTCCCATTGATTTTCCCCCAATTTTCAGGTTTTATAGGTAAACTAAATGATTAACTTTTTTTTTTAAGTTTTATTTATTTGTGCATACAGAGCTGGGGTACAGGCCAGAGGCTCAGGGGCGGCAAGAGGCTTCACCAGAGACAGAGTGGGGAGCAGAACAGGCAGATCGACGAAGTACACTGCTGAGGGGAGCAGCGGGGCAGGTCAGAAGTCTGCTGCACGGTGTGGATCACCTCTGGGGTGGGGATCGAACTCATGCTGAAGTGGCTTTAGCTTCTCAGTGCTGCGCTTTAACCTGCTGCACCACCAAGGAGGGCCATAAATGATTAACTTTTTTAAGCCACAAACTGCAGGGGTTGTTTGTAATGTAGAAAGCAGAAAACTATCACGCAGTGAACATTTTTCACTGGTAATCATATAAGCCATATACAATTTATGTTAAGTGGTTCTGTTACAACTTAACATGATTATGTGAAAACTTGTATTTCATAAAATTGTATACAAATTGAGTACTGGGTTTAAAAAGGAAATAGGCTAAGGTGGGCCACTCATTACCTGCAGAATTTGAAAAAAAAAAAAAAATAGAGAGAGTAAGCAAGAGAGAGCCCTAGCAAAAGTAGTAAAAATTGCTTTAAAATACAAACCATATACTGGAACAAGAACAGACACACAGACCAGTGATTAGAATAGAAAACCCCGATATGGACCACAGGTTTATGGGCAGCTAATCTTTGACAAAGGAGCAAAGAAGATACAAGGGAACAAAAAGAAAGTTTGTTCAACAAATGGTGCTGGGAAAACTGGAAAGCTACAAGCAAAAAAATGAAACTAGATCACTACCTCACACCATACACAAAAATCAATTCGAAGTGGATTAAAGACCTAGACATTAGAACGGAAACCATAAAATATCTGGAAGCAAAGATGGGCCAAACACTACATATATACACATCAGTAAATCTTTGAAGATACAGCACCCAGTGCAACGATAGTGAAGGCAAGGGTAATTAGATGGGACTACATCAAGTAAAGAGCTTCTGAAGGGCAAAAGAGACATTACATAAAACAGACATTCTACTGGTTGGAAATTTTTTTTTTTCACACAAAACTAGCGATAAAGTATTGATCACAAAGATATACAAGGAAATGTTGAAACTCAACAAAACTAACCAACCCCATCAAAATGGGCAGAAGAGTTAAAAAGACACTTCTCCAAAGAGCAAATGCAGATGGCCAACAGGCATATGAAAAAGTGTTCAACATCACTTGTCATAAGGGAGATGCAAATTAAAACCACAATGAAATACCACCTCACCCAGTGAGCATGGAACATCTTAAAACAACCAGCAAAAACAAATGTTGGTGAGGATGTGGAGAAAAAGGAACTCTCCTGCACTGCTGGTGGGGATGCAAACTAGTAAAACCACTATGGAAAACTGTTTGGAGGTTTCTCAAACTGCTAAAAAAAATGGAGCTTCCATATGACCCAGAAATCCCACTCCTAGGTATCTACCCAAAAGACACAAAAACACTGATTCAAAAAGACACCTGCACCACTCCCCCCCCCCATTTATTGCTGCTTTATTTATAATTGGAAAGAAATGGAAGCAGCCCAAATGCCCAAAAGTGGATGACTGGATTAAAAAGATGTGGTACATATATACAATGGAATATTACTCAGCAACCAAAAAAAATAAACACATGCCTTTTGCAGCAACATGGATGGAGCTGGAAAGGATCAAACTTAGTGAAATAAGCCAGAAAGAAAAAGAAAAATACCGGATAGTTTCACTCATAGCAGGAATATAAAGAACCAGGGAAGAAAATAATAATAATAATGAACAACTAACTACCAGAGACATTTTATGGGGGTGAAGTGGGAAATGGGATCAAAAACAGTGGGGGGAGGGAAGTGCATTGGACTATGGTGATGGTACACCAGAGGTGTGGTGATGGGAAGCACCTGGGGAAAAAGGCACAAAATGATTAAAAATAAACTATTATATTATTAAAAAAAGAGTATATGAGAAATATAATAGAAAAAAAATACTAACTATAAAAAGCTCCACAGGCATTTTGCTTGTAGAATCACAGTGCATCCTTATCAGCCTTGTATACTGGAATTCATGTTTCCTCAAAGATATTTTTCCCTCATATTTTACCAGAGAGCTGTATAAATTTGAAAACATAGGGGTGCTTGAAGTCACAAATCATCTACTTCTTGCACTAAAAACATTTTTGCAGAATTTTTCCCCTGTGGGTCTTCATGTATTGCAAAAACAGTTTTAACTGTGAGAAAGTTTGATTAAAATTGCCTCAAAAAACTAACATTCCTGGAAATTAACAAGTGAACAAGAAAACTTCAGTGTTTACTGACATCCTTACTTAGAAATTATATTCGAGCTAATTGACCCTAAAAAAATTCACAGAGTGGAACAGATAGTGCCAGGGGTCAGCTTGTATGTTGTGTTCATGATCGCAGACACTGACTGGAAAGGTCAGTCCTCTCTTACTGTAGCCCTTTGCCATGAACTTGAAGGTAGGAAGGTAGGACTTAAGACCTATCTTTTCTTTTCTTTCTTTCTTCTTCTTCTTTTTTTTTTAAAGATTTATTTATTTAGGCATGCAGAACTGCATGTACCAGAGGTACAGGGGTGGGCAGAGAATCCACCAGCGACAGAGTGGGGGGCCCAACAGGTAGATGGACAAAGTACACTGCGGAGGGGAGCGGCGGGTGGGTCAGGAGAGGTCTGCCGCGCCATGTGGGTCACCTCCAGGGTGGGCAGGGATCACATGCATGCTGAGGTGGCTTTAGCTTCTTAGTGCTGTGCTGTACTTAAAGGGAGGGCCCGCTTTAAGTATTCTTTTAAATTCATGAACATGTGGTTGTCTAGCAAATCTGAGTATTTTTTGAAACAAAGATTAACTAGATTGAAGGGTATTTTGAAATTTAAGATATTTGAAAAACAAGTTGTGTTATAGTTTAACATAGATACAGGAAGTAAATAAACAAGTACTATCAATAAGAAACAGAGGAGAAGTATAATTTCCTTGCAAAGGGGTTTTTGCTCTGCTGTGTTCTTAAGCTGATTTTTTTTTTTTCTTAAGCTGATTTTTAATGGGAAATTTTGAGGCTTTCTTCCTAGTTGAGGAATAAAAGGACATCAAACTCAACTTTGTGATATCAACAACTGTAGGCAGTGGACCTAAATCTGGCAATGAAATAATTTCTGTGGATGAAAAATCACAAGGTTTCTTTTGTGGTTAGACCAGTACAATAGGATTGTTGAAGTGGCAATAATCAATTCTTAAGGAGTGATAAAACAAATCATTAGGAAAAGAACATTCCATAAATTAACTGTCATCAATCTAAATGATATATTGAAGAGTGGATGAAAGTGTGCATTTTGTATGTTTATGTTCCACTCTGTGAATTTTTTTAGGGTCAATTAGCTCAAACATAATTTCTAAGTAAGGATGTCAGTAAACACTGAAGTTTTCTTTTTCACTTGTTACTTTAATTTCAAGAATGTTAGTTTTTTGAGGCAATTTTAAGTTAACCTTTCTCACAGTTAAAACTGTTTTTGCAATACATGAAGACCTGAAGGGGGAAAATGCTGAAAATTCTGCAAAAATGTTTTTAATGCAAGAAGATATTTTTTTAGGGTGTTTATTGTGACTGCACAGATTTGAACCCAGTAGGCAGGTTGATAAGTTAGGCCAGTGGATACAGAAGTATAACTAAACTGACCAAAAAGAAAACTAGATTAAGTACTATAGCCAAGACCCATGTATGGAATTCTATTGCCACCCTAAAGGCTGATTTTCAGAACATCCCAGAAGTTTAACAAAGAGACAAAACCAGAGGACCAGTTAATTTCTGAGCTGAATCTGAAACTCACCTTTTCTTGATATGGGGATTCCACTGCCCTGCATCTTATCTCAAGGGACCTTTAGTATTTGACCATCTAAACTAGAAAACAGAACTGGCAGAAGATACCAGCTCATGCTATGTTATAGTAAATGGCATCTTGGTCTAATGTGCCAGAAGAACTGGTGCTCCTGAGCTGTCCAGGTTCCTGGATCGAGCATATTCTGACGATCCTTGTGCTTAATTACCTTGTTGACTCATTTAGACCCACTTTCCACTTCTCTTCCTTATGTGGTTTGCCTTATATGGGTCCATAGCCCTGGTTCCTTGCCTGTCTTTACTACGGCTCAGATTGTAAAGCAGTCCTTTATGCCTGGCTATGGGTCCCTGATGCTTCTAGTGCCTTAAAATTGTTCTAATTCTTAGGGAATTTTGAAATCTTTATTAACAGTAGCTTCTTAAAACATCTCCTTAAAACATCCTAATTTGAATATTCCATCTGTTTCCTTGTGGGACCTGACCATCTTACTAGACTAGGGAATCTGTTTGGGACTTCTCTAGGGAAGACAAACTGCCCTGACCTCCACTGGATGGCCCTCGTTGGGCTGAACTGGACTAAAAATCTGGACTTCTCTCAGAGTTATTCTTGATGTGAAATAGTAACCAAAGATTTACCATATTTACTCACTCTGTAAGAATAAGGATAAAAACAGAACTATGAAATCATCAACTGACTATCAGTGAATTGAACTGTCCCTACATCCCTGCTTCCTCTAGTGCTCTGGGAACAAATGTTTGAAGTCTAGAACTGTGAGAGGGAGAGAGAGAGAGAGAGTTCTGATTGCGTGTCTTTGTCTATTAGTCCATGAATGACTCCTTCACTTTTAATTTTGTTGGAATCAAAAGACAGGAGGTCACATGTAGGGATTTTTGTTCCTGCCTTGTCTTCCTTAAAGATGGCTGTAAGGCACATCTCTCTTGAACTTCAACTGAAGACAGCAGGGGAAACAACCCATCAAAGCCATGGTTTCATGCCTTAAAGGGAGTCAATGTGTTGAACAAAATTTTAGGACAGTTAGTTTCTATCTCTTCCCTGATGGGCTTTTAAAGAATATCCCACTTCAAAATTAATTTCAATGCTTGCTTGAAATTTGAAACAAGAAGTGAAGAATGTTTAAGTTCTAAAATGTAAATACCAGTTAGGGGCTACCCAATTTGAAGAGTAGCTAATTTTTTTTTTATTTTAGGTCCTTATAAAAAGGTGTTGTCAAGAGTTGCTTGTATTTTCAACATTTTGGGCTGTCTTATAAGGAAAGTCATGTAGTGTTCATCAGCAAGAAGGATGAATTATCTTTTCTTCCACAAATAGCCTCCTTTTAGAAAGATCAGAGAATGGCAAAGTAGGATATAGCAGTGGGAAATAGCACACACATGTTGTAACGAAGTCAAAGTTTTAGCCCTTAAGATTATTTTCTTCTACTGTTTATCAAGAAGCATTTTTATTTTATTTTAAAAAAGGTTTATTTATTTGTGAATATAGGGACTTGAGTACAGTCTAGGGGAATAGGGGAGGGGAGATGAGAAGATTCACCAGAGACAAAGTGGGGAGCAGAACAGGTGGATTGATCGAAATACACTGCTGAGGGGAGCAGCAGTGCATGAGGCAGGAGAGGTCTGCTGTTCCATGTGGGTCAACTCCCTGACTGGGTATTGAACTCATGCTGCAGTGACTGTGGAGTACTTCATAGTCCTTAACCCTTTGTGCCACCAGGAGCACCCCCTCAAGAAGTATTTTTAAATTAAAGGTCAAAACTAAATTAAATGTAATCTTTCCTCTCAAGCTGCATTTTAAATATATTTTAGAAGGAAGGTGTGAGAAAAGAGGAATGAGTAGTACATGATTAACTGTGTTTATTATCATATTTATTGATTTAATGCCTTTTCACATGTAAAAGTGTAATAGGATTCTCCATAGCTCTGACTGCTGTGGATAAGGTTTCATCTTTGAGTTCATGCCATAAATTTACACTCAGGGATGTAAAAGTGCTGTAAAGGCCAGAGGAATTGATAATGTATATTTTTGGCATTTGTTTGGACCACGCAGTCAGTAAGAGGCTATAGTTCATAATTTCACTTGTCAATTATAAGAGACTAAGCTGGATTCAAACTACTGAGCTCTCCAAGGTATATTGGCCTTTTCCCAATCCAAATTGACCTTGAAATCAAGGAGTGAGTTTGTTTCTCTGCTTTATTTCAGATTTAGATTGGTTCCAAAAAAGACAGCCTCCCAACACAAATGACATTTAAGTAATTGTTAAAATATGCCTGTGTCATAATTTTTTTAAAAAAATATTTATTTATTTATACTTAAAGAACTGGAGGACAGGCCAGAGGTGCAGCGGTGGTGAGAGGATTCACCAAAGACAGAGTTGGGAGCAGAACAGGCTGACGAAGTACACTGGTGGGGGGAGCAGTGGATGAGTCAGGAGAGGTCTGCCGCACCATGTGGTCACCTCCAGGGCAGTGATCAAACTCATGCTGACGTGGCTTTAGCTTCTAGTGCTGTGCTTTAATACGCTGCGCCCCAGGGAGGGCCTGCCTGTGTCATAATTTTATGAAATACACTTGTGCTGATCGTCATTGTTTACCTATTTATCTCACGTAGTGTTTTTCACTCAAAAGTTTTTTTTCCATTACCGAGTAATTGATCAATTACACTCATTTAAACAGGGCCCCATTAAAATGCCATTGGTTTAGCCCAGACTTTACATCTAAAAATTGTTTATAAAAAATAAATACATAAAATTCTTGGGGAAAATATACTGTATTTCAAAAGATAAAGTTAATTACCCATCTCTTTCTTTCTTTAGCCTTCATTGCATCATACACAATGGGAACATGCAGGGAAGAAAGAATTTTTATATTACTGAGACAATATGTCATTTCATATTCCCCCCCAAAAAGTTTCCCTTTCCTTGTTTGCCATGTTTGCCCAGAGTTTTGAAAAAAAAAAAAAAAAAAAACACATTTTGAATGGAAAATCTGAGAAGCATATGAATCTTAGGAAGCAAACATCATTATATATGGCTTTGATTAGGATCTGAAGCTCGGCTCAAAGATTATATATACTTTTGTTTTCTCTAAACTCTTTGATTTACTTATATTTCTTGTAATAAGACTGCAGATATATCCTATACATGCTACATTTTGGATGGTTTTGATATCAGGACATTTAAAAAAGAAACTATTTTGTAAGTGAATTTATCAACTCCTGAACAGCATTATATAATTAGCTTATCCCTGAACAAAGTTTTTCTGAGATGACTCCTGCAACTGGTGCTTTGCTGATTGTTTTTTGAATTGCTTAATCATTAAGCCTTGAGGGAATGGTACAATTCATATGGAACAGGTTACAAGAAAGACAAACGCTTGTTTACTGAGTGGATGGCTACCCTGGGCAGTTTACATGCATTACTATTTATTCTCCACAACATAATCCCCGATTACAGATAAGGGAGCATACAGAGAAAGGAAAAGTTTTCAGCAAGGGATACTGTTTTCTGTACTGATCTGCTTTCTGTCAATATAGATTGCTTGCATTTTCTGCAGTTAAATATAAATGGAATGGAATGATAATGTACTGCCTTTTGTCTGGCTGTTTCATTGAACATAAACATTCTGAGATAAATCAAGTGTGTATTCCAATAGCCCATTCCTTCCCTGAGTAGTAGTCTGTGGAAAGAATATGCCACATTCGGGCCCTCCCCCATGGCACAATTGGTTGAAGCACAGCACAATGAAGCTATTGCAGCCACTGCAGCATGAGTTAGATCCTCAGTCAGGGAGCTGACCCACATGGTATGGCAGACCTCTCCTGGCCCACCCTCTGCTCCCCTCGGCAGTGTACTTTGTCTATCTGCCTGTTCTGCTCCCCACTCTGTCTCTGGTGAAGCCTCTCACCACCCCTGCATGTCTGGCCTGTACCCCAGTTCTGTATTCACAAATAAATAAATCTTAAAAAAAAGAGAGAGAGAATATTCCACACTTTATTTATCTACTGCTCTGTGGATAGATATGTGAGCTGTTTTCAGTTCTTGATTATTACAAATGAAGATGCTATGGACATTTGAGTACAAATCTTTGAAAGAATACATTCTCCAACTAGACTGAACGACTTGCAGTAGTTTCCCATACTTGCTTTTAGAGATCAAGCATATTTAAAGTGAATCTTCTGCTGTTCATCTTTATAATGTGTGAATAAAGATGTCTAATTACTTCTGTAGTCATTGTGCTGAGAGAATTGAATGAGGTCACTATATAAAAGCACTTGTTAAATTGTAGGTCAGGCTGAAGACAAGAGAAATGAATGAAAGACAGTACTACAAGACTCATTCAATTTAGGTTTTCTGTTGGTACCTGCCACCATAAGAAAAGACTTTCCTTCATAACAAGTTTACTTTACAACATTCTGAGTATTGATCCCTATTTTGATCCTCGTCTTCCCATTCCCTCACAGAATGTCGCTGACGTATGGTTGCCTGCTAATTTTAAAAATATTTATTAATATATATTTTTTCCTGATTCTTTATTTGGTTCCCCTATATTGCTCCTATACATGACATCATCGATATTTTTGTTTCTTCCTGGCTTATATCACTGAGCATAACCCCTTAGCTCTTTCCATGAGTATATCAGAATGAAAGAGCAGAGTGCAAGGGACTATGGTGATGGTTCACGGGTGAACTGGTGGTAGGAATTTAATGGGAACTACACCTAAAAGGAGAAAGCATACAAGCATGCATTGTACAAAAATGAAAAATTATGTAAAATATATAGAGAGATAAATAAAAATAAAAATAAACAACAAAAAAGACCAATATTCCGAGCACTGTTATTAGGGATTGAAAATTTGTCACACCCACCAGCAACTTGTTTTTGTTTTAGGGTCAAAATGTTTTTCTGGGAGACTAATATGTAATGGAAATCACTATGGGAACATGATCAGTTTTACTTTAGAAGCATCTTTGGCAGAAAAAGATTATATTTAAAAAAAATAAATACATGAGTCTTTAAAATGTTGCAAACTTCCATCACCTAACATTTTGGTTTTCTCCTGAAATAGATTTTTATTATTTATTAGTTTTTCAATTATTTGAAGGGAAGGGATAGTAAGCATTTGGACATTCATCAAAAAAACTGTTCCTACCATTTCTTTCAGATTTAAATTAAAAATTTGTTCTTTAACTGCAGTGGTTTGTCCAAGATGCTTGACATCTATGCAGAACATTCTCCTGTCAACTTAAACTTCTCCCTAGTCCATCTGAATTCACTTGGAATACTGTGGAGAAGCATCTTAAAATTAAGAAAAACAACTTTGCTTTGGTAAACAAAGGTTTTCATCTTTTATTACTTTTACTTTTTAATATCTACTTTCTCTAGAGTCATGCAAATCAGACTTCTGAAAGTCTGAAAAATTTAACTGTGGCATTTCCCCAGAAATTATTCTTCAGGACACTGTGAAAACAGTATGAATAAGGGGCCGGGGGTGGGGGATGGGGTGAAGCCTACTTTCCCACTTTACAAGTTCTCCTTGAGGACCTGGTGTCTTGACAGGTATTTATCCTCTGATACACTTCAAAAAATACCAATTATGACCCTAACTGTAGATATATTTTGAGTATGACAGCTAAGAAGAAAAAAAAGTGACAATTCTTGCCACAAATCACAAACCACATTACTGAGAAGCTAGTAAGGCATGCTTGTGGGGAAGCTGTGGGAACACGATTGAACCCAGGTTTAATGTGGCACTATTATATTATTTTATTTAAAATTTTGATTGAATAATTTTGTTGGTAATACACTACTGTGGTTCAGACATCAAAGTGATACATAATGTTATTTCGGGGGGTCTTCTGCTCCTGTTCCTGTCCATGCTATTCCCCAATAGCTCCACAAGGCTCACAGTGGCTTCACCTGTGTTCCT